GAAACCGGTAACCTAAATTCTCTCCACGTTCCGGGCATGTCAGGACAGCCCGCGGTTTACTCAGTTTTGACGCACGCAATCGGACAAAACTGAATAGCGCAAAGAAAAGCCCCCGATGTGTGCATTCCATTCGCGTTATTAAAACGTTTTCTTTAAAAAAATATATTAAGCGCAAGGTTAGACTGCGCATGGGCTGTTGTCGCGTGGAAGTATCGGTAACGGTAAGGTTATCACTGAAACGGTACGCGAAAACGTTCTATTAAAATCACCGAACGTCACACAGCTTCACGAATAAACGAGAGAAAAAAAACAAAAGAAAGATCGTGGTACACCTAAGCACTTCTTATGAGTTGTGAATACGAAAGCATGTACACCATTCTTGCTGTACGCGTGTTGGTACGCTGACTGGCGCTGCGTGTCTTTAAAGTCCTTCAAAGCATATAATGCATTATAGAGAATAGACGAGGGGAAGGAAGGGTGGGGCTGATCGGATGAACGCTCGTGTGTCGGCTCGAACGCTTCGTACATCCTGGTAGCGGCACGATTCATTCTCTCTCATCGTTAAGAGCTCGGAACACACGCACAAATTAAGCGAACGGAAAAGAATGTCATCACTCCCTCGTTTTGCTTCCCTTCTGCCTTCTCTGCGTTCTGAAATCACGAACTGTTAAACCAACGTCACCTTCGCCGTCGCTTCTTGGATACTTTCACGTGCCGCACATCTGAACGTCACAATACGTGAAGCATACGTTGGGGGCACCACATGTTTCCGGAAAGGTCTATTGGTGAGGGAATTGGTGTGGACACCTGACGTATATTTTCCCGCTAAATTTAGCGGTGGAAAATGAACGTTTGCATACGTGTACGTGACGACAAGTCACGTGACGACGATTTTCCCCGCTAAATTTATCGGGTAACTGAATTGGTGTAGATTTCACGTGACGTCAGTCTCCCACTAAATTTAGCGGAGAAACTGAATTGATGGTTTGGCCGCAAGACGTGAATTTTTCCGCTAAATTTAGCGGGAAAACTGAGTTGACGTGTAGGTGACCTGTCTTCAATTTACCTAAGGTATAAAGGTCGCGTGTCGTCACGTGAGGCCAATTTTTCCGCTATATTTAGCGGACAATTTACGGACGGAGGGACGTAAGGACGGACGGACATTTTAGGTTTAGAGGGTAGCGTTAAAAAATATCACGCCTAAAAATATATCATGCCTAAATTAAAAAAAAAAATAAAATAAATAAAAACGGGTGCCTGTTTAGGTATTTGCTCTTTCTTGCGTGAGTCGAAACGTGGTGTCATCAGCGTGCAAATATCCCTCAAACACTTCCCGTTCCCAACAAGACGGCAGGTTTCGCAGTATCTGCGAGACTAGGGAGTTGTAGTAGATCGTTTTTTTCCTCCGCTACGGTATCCGGGAAGAAAACGCCGCAGCTGCGCATGCGCGCCGCTAGCCTTGTCTGCATAGTACAAGGTCTTGTGGCGGATTACGGAGCGCTCTCTGGGTGTTTAGCGGGCTGCGGAAACGCTCTACTAGAATTCCCTATTAAATCTACGCGCTATTTTCGGGAAACGGTCGCTCATGCCACTGTTACACATAGTGCACTTTTATGATGAAAGAAGGATGCGTAAAAATTTAGAAAATATACCCGGACCGGAAGAGTGTTCAGGCCACCGAAAAGATGGCGCCACTGAGTTTGTTCCCAAACAAAAAAGGGCGTGAAATTACAGTTCAACATCGCGAAACAATCGAACAACAATAAAATAACAGTTTGTTAATTAATGACGGCGAGAAGCCGTGCATGGCTTACACTGACATCAGATGACATGAGCCACGGTTGCGGTGGTCTTGCTGCTGAGCGCGCATCTTCTGCAGTATTCATTCTGTACCAATGAATTTATAATATCCGACATTAGAAGGTACGAATTCACCATCACCGTCATATTATGATATCACATTCAAGTAGTGCGTTTTGCACTGTTACTGTTCACGAACGTAATTGGTTGGACTGCGCAAGCGTCACTGCGCCCCCCCCCCCCCCCCCCATGTTCTAAAGTTTTCAAGATTCTAGTTATGGTACCTAGTGTAATTAACGTTTGCAATTATTTTGTAAGTATACATTGTTTGTAGTTTTGTATAATGTATATTTATTTGGTATAATTACTCCCGACAATGCAAAATAAATATAAATGTATAGAAAATTGCTGGTGGGGGGGGGGGGGGTGTTGAGACGTTTGGCGTCAACGCTCTCGGCGCTCTTCATCGGCGAGTTTAGCTAGTGTGAACCGAAATCTGGATTCCCCAAAACACGCGGCAAAAGCGTGCAACGGGATGCTACAAACACCAAAACATCACTCATACAGCGATATCTCGAACGGATGACCGTATTTTTCAATAAAAGAGGCGCAATTGGCAGGATTGTTGACGTCATGTTTCTCCGAGAAGGGGAGGGAACGGCCTCGCGTCTTCTCCGCCTCGCGGCCTTGAGGGAGCGAAGCGAAGAGAGGAGGAAACTAGGTATCTTGACGGTCACGCGCCTCGTCGGCCTGGTTCAATCTCGACTTCTTTTTCCAAAAATACGGCCGTCCATTTGGGATATCGCCTTACTAGTAGTGTTGTAGGGATTGTAGCGTCCCGCCTACATCTCCAGCATTGTTTTTTTGAAATGCAAATTTGGGTTCACCATCCCTTTAACGCGTGGCATGCACATTCAATAGCTATTCCTGGTATGGAGATACCGGCGCCAACCCAGGTTTTAAAAACGCCTGGCAAAGTAAGTTGCTATCTGCCGGACGCAGAGAGGACGCCCTGCAGGGTTGTCCCGCCAAATGCCACCTCAACTCACGGCTCCCCAGGGCCGGCGTATAGGCGCAGCGACGCTTCGCGACGACGTGAGGGACTTGGACCTGGCGAACGTGACCGAGGCGCTTGACACCTTCTCGCCGCACTTCGCAAGATGCCAGGGAACGGCGCAGGCAAGACTCGACCCAGTGTACGTGTCCGGTGATCTCTCCGACAGGATCACGTCCTACGACGCAAAGATCGTGTCCTTTTCGGACCAGGGCTTCGTCGTAACCAGGCTGAGGGCCGGCGGGCCGAGAGTCGGCAGGGCACGACGTGACGTGGCATAGGAAATGAACGCCGGCCTTCTAGAGAGCGAAGAGTTCGTCGACGGGCCCGCAAACGGCGCTGGAGGAATTCCGGGGAGATTGAGTGGACTCCGTGTCCTGGGAGCAATTCAAGTCGCGACTCTGCGAGTCCGAGGCGCGGTGGGGGAGAACTCCCCTCACGCGCACCATGACGGCGCTTCTGGAGGAAGAGGAACGCTGCCCCGGAGGTTTTAGGGAGGACATTCAGGAGTGCAAGGAGCAGATGTTCGGTGCGGAAGTAAGGATGCCCAAGTAAGAAGATGCGCAAGTAAGGAGCCGAGTGCCAACCCTCGAGAGAGAAACCCAGCCGTCTAAGATCTTTCGCACCTACGAGCGGAAAGGAGCGACGAAAAACACCGCGACCGAGGTGGAGAGCTAAGGGTGCGTGGCCACGACGCAGGAATAAATTCGGGACGCCTTCGAAGAATCCTACAGAAAACTGCTCCGGAAGGAGGCGGCGGACGAGCATTCCTCCGAGTCCGTCCTGCGGGGTTCGCCCACCGTGCACGAGGAGAAAGGGGACATCATGAACTGCCCGATTCGGGAGTCGGAGATTGCGGAGGCCATAGAGAAGCTTTCCCGGATCAAGGCAGCCGGCCCGGACGAGATCGGATCGGAGTTCGACAAGTTGTTCTCCAACGCGTTCTTCCCGGCCCTGGTGCGGGTGTTCGAAAACATCAGGGAGCGGAAAGCATTTCCGCCGAGCATGCGAGAGAGCCACACTGTGCTCATCGTCGCCGACGTTACGGAAAGTCGCCCCATAAGTGTGGTATGCTCCAACTATAAAATTCTCGTCAAAAGTTTGTCAAGACGGCTGGGCATTGGATTGCAATCAGTCATAGGACCCCACCAAGGCTAAGGGCTCCGAGGTCGCTCCATGGCAAGGAACATTCACGTAATGTGCCTGTCAGGCAACCGCGGAGGGTCATCAGCGTCCTGCTGTCCTGCAACTCGACCTGCGGCAAGCTTTCGACCTTGTGCCCCACGATTTCCTGTGTCAGCACGTGCCTCCTGGTCAACTGAGAAAGAGAACGCCGATCACCGTCGCAAAATCAGTCCTACAGGGATGTCCCTCTCGTATCCTTTTCGTACTGCAGCTGGAGCCGCGGTGCAGCGCGATCGGCGGATATCATTAAATCGCGGGTTTGAGACTTCGGAACGAGAACGTCAGTGTCCTCGCTTTCGCCGACGATGTGACCTTCATCTCCTTTCCCAAGGCGGAGGTAGAGGCCGCCCTGCGGCGCGTCGAGGTTCTTTGCGCAGCTTCTGGCACGGAGATCAACCACATCAACTCGGTTGGTTTGTGGCTCGAGGGGTGGGCGACGACATCAAAACGATTCGCAGGCATCGAGTGGCACACCTCGATTGGTGATTATCTCGGCGTATCGGTGTTTCCAACAAAACCACGGACGGCAGTATGGAAGAGGACGGCCAACTCCATCGCAGCAAAGCTCTCGCCGTGACAGTGCAGACATCTGTCTTTCTTCGGTCCAGTGTACGTCTGCAACGCTGTCTCGTACCCGTCCGCCCTTTACAGGGCACAAGCCGTCTGCTTCCCTGGAGCCACGGCCAAGAGGATGCATCGAGGCTGGGCCGTCCTTGTCTGGAGATCAACATTGGAACGGACGCGAAGGGATAATCTCTTCCTTCATCTGGAGAGTGGAGGACTCGGCCTGGTCAATGTCGTGCTGAAGCTCCACGTCCAGCGTTTTATCCTCTTTCGGGACGCGAAGGATCTCTAATTCCTGGCCGCGCTTCATCACCTTGGCTTTCCTTACCTGGGAAAGTGGATGGTAAACACAAACGGGCGTGAAAATAAGGTGGCCGCGCTGCGGTTTTACAGCGAGATGGTACCTTCCTTCGAGTTTTTCCGGGCCCACTTGACGTGGGAGTACCTGACGACTGTCGACAAAAAGAGTCTGTACTGGGACGTAACGTTCGTGGCCTTCCCGCCCCCTCTATATCGGCTACCGCCAGTACCGGACAGAGCACCGCGGCTCTTCAAGCTCGTGCGCCGCTTTCCCGTTCCCTTGTCCAGCAGGGATTTCTTCATGCGTATGCACCTCGATGGGCTTGCTGTGATGGCTCGGCTACACCGAAAAGACATCTATGCCCCCTGGTCGGTGAACAGCGATTTTTGCGGAGCCGCCCAAACTCTGCAGCATGCCCTCGTCCGCGGCTCCGACGCTTACCTTTTTTGGGACAAGATGACGATGTTCCGGCTGAAGGCGGCTTTTGACGTAGAGTGGGCTAACCTTAAGTACCCCGATCTCGGGGAGAGGGACACCTCGCGTTTGAGGTGCGTGCTGGTGTTCCTGTGTGTCCGCTCCTTTTGGCAGTAGCGCACCGCGATGGTGCAGCACCCCCCATGGGACTATTTCGTGGCCAAACTTAATATATTGTTTTCGGTGACTAAGAGGCAGGCGGGCATGCCGACGGACCAGGGGCAATGCGTGCAGATGCAAGTGGAGGCCGGAGGGCGCCGCCGTGAGTGTCCTCTACCACGGAGCGAGAACTACCAGCTCCATCTGGAGACGCAGCGTGAAGGCGTGCGTTGAGGGGCGCGGGGGCGTGTGATTGATTGCGTTTCGCACCTCGGGCGCAGAGAGGGGCAAGTCCGACGGAGTGCAGAAAGGTCGTTCGCGAACGCATTTTCCGACTTTTATTATCAGACAAGTCATCGGCCAAATGTCCTAAATAAATTTTTTGTTTGAGAGTGCAGAAAGTGTGTTTAGTCATCAATGGATTGCATTTCCTGTTTTCCCGGCGAAATAGCTCACTTTTTCCATTCTACCTCTTATCATTGAAACATGTAGAACCTGTTCCTCGACCTGCTGTTATTGTTTCATTTGATGTGTTCCATCAAATGAAACAATCAAACAATGAAACATCAAATGAAACGAATGGAATACATAACGAATGTATTCCACTCGTTACACGATAGCAGACACTGACTAGGACCGCCGCGAACCTGTAAAACTCCTATAAATAAATATATTGTTCTTATTGAAAAAAAAAAAAAAGTGTTCTGACATGCTGGAAAGTCACTCGCTTAATAAACTAAGTAGTCTGGGTTCGATTCCCGCCTGGCGCAAACGCTTTCTTTTCTGCGAAGGCCTCTTCCCTCTCCACGTATCGAGCCTCGCGGCCACACTTTTAACCAGGCTTCAGTTTTGAGCTTCACGAAATGCCGAACACCTAGCCAAAGAACGCTTCACGTTAAAAAAATGCGTCAACTTAGCTGTTTTACGAATTTTCTTCATGGATTCAACGAAGTAGCATATGTCCCAGTATGGTCTATTTCTTTGGTCATCCCTTTTGTCTCTTTATAATCCGTCTTAGTGTTCAATAATAAAAAAAAAGATCAAGCTTTAGTAGAAGATGCACAATGGATGAACCACTGTTCGACTTCACTACGTTTTAAAATTATTTTAGAGCGTATACATAATGGGCTTGCTTAATAAAGTACAATGGTTGTCGCGCAATAAAAGTATCCTGACGCACTCTGATAGCGCACTTTTTTTCGATCTGGAACGCAGGAAACACAGATGCCGGTCCGCGTCGTCAGTGCTTTCCCTCAAAGACATCCACAGGTCGCTGGCTCTTGCACACGCTGCTCGTAAGTATACATCGTCTTAAGATCTTGGTTTTTTTGACCGAATCCTATTTACCCCATATTGACCCACAGCTTAAAACCAAAGGCGTGACTTGTCATGATCATGCTTAATGCGACGTGATTCTTCGGCGATTTCTATCCGCTAACGCCGCAGCCTTATGGGTTGCTGGGCAATGGCACTATTCTCGGGACTTGCAACGCTGTGCTTTTCTTTAGCTGTCGTAAGTTTCTTAAGCTGTCTTAAGACTATAGGTATCACCCTAAGATAGATCGCAAGGGACTCTATGAGCATATCACATATAATCAAACGCCGATTGGACCGTGTGACGTTTCGGATGCAACGCACGGAGCGTGAAATTACGTGGTAGGCTCGCATTACTGCCATTGTCTGGAGTACCGCTTCGCTGTGCCACCTTGCGCCGTCCGGGTTGCCAGGTCTGGATGGGAGGATGAACTTCGTTGTGGGAAGCTGAGCGGTTGTCGTCGGAGACGAAGCAGCTTCCCGTGGCCATCGATGACTAACTCAGTTGAACTTATAGTTACTTTTCAATAAATATATAATTGAATACTTTAGTAGCGAATGAAAATACACAAGCGAAATAATATTGCAAGAGGTAACTTCCCTTGTACGGGATTGGGAATAAAGGGCTCGGGTGTTAGTTAGTTTATCCAGGCTTGGGAGTTGGCTGGCTCGTGGGATTAAGTTCCGATTACGGGGACATTGTCCCTCAAAGTCCCTCGACCGGGCTCGATCCCGGAGCGTTAGCTGTCGAGCTCCAGCACAAACTGAAACTCACTTGCTACGTTTCCCCTGAAAATCGCTCCTTGGCCCACCCCTTTCTGGCGGGCCGGCAAATCCTCATCACGTCGTCAGACAGGCGTTTCTCACTGTCCGAAAGTCCCCAACCAATCGGCAAACTTTCTCACCATAGGGCATTTGTCTATATTCCCTCGTGAGACCCCGCGATCTGCGTATATCTCACGGCCAAAGGTCAAGTGCGCTCAGATGGAAGCAATCGATACCTAGAACTCGCAAGGCAAGTCAGACAGCCGACCTCGGCGTGGGTACTGCCCGACTATAGCTTACCCATCATTCATTCCACCGGACGCGGTCTCACGTTGCCGTTCTACCGTGCCCCTAACACGCGATGGCGATGGAGAAAGCCTACATCGATGTAAACAGTGCCAGCCAGAACCGCCACGTTCTCCCGACCCGAAACGCACGTCCTGATTCTCTCAGCAGAAAACGCGCGTTCCCAACTTCGCGTCGTAAAGTACGTCCGTCTCTCAAGGTCGCCCACCATGGGAAGTGTTTACGTCAACGCTTTCCTACCGGCCATGTCCCTCAGGTGCTAACGGCGCACCCGCGGTGCCCTCGTCGATCCTTACCGCTAGAATGGCTCGAAGCGTCCGCTATGGTTCACCTCACCATAAACAGTGAAGAATAATTAAGGCGGGCCACGAAACGTGAGCTGGCGGTGGGAAGTCGGGTTATGTCAGCACCTCGTAGGTAGCAAGGCCGTTGTAATAGGTTATCTAAGTCACCTTCCGGGGGTCAGAGATTGTACAGTGCTGCTGCGCTGAAGCCTTCCGCTGTGTTCAGTCGATCGGAACACACATCATAAACGAACGCTGAGGAAGCACTTTTTTCCGCTCTGTGCCCCACTCTGGCCTACAGTTGGTGACTTCAAAAGTCTAGCACTACGGCCGTTTTACCTAGCAGGTGTTGGCATCTCTGGAGGATATATATATATATATAACCTCTGCTGGCGTGGCGCGAGGACAGCGCAGCAGAGGTTGGTTGCACTATTTCTCCACGGGGTGCGGTGCCATCGGTGCCGAGAAGCGCTCCGATTGCAAACTGAAACTTAAAAACCCGTTGAATCTGTGCAATTTTTCAGAAAGCCGTAAAATATCGCGCGTGCCTTCTATCGTTCCGCAATTTGTTGATTTAGTGTTTTTCGATGATGCTCAGTAAGATTCTAAATAAAATAATGCCTTTAAATTCAGTATTTAAAAAGAAAATAATTAAGCGAAAATAATTAACAGCATAATTATCCCGAACTTTAATAATTTTCCTAACTAGGCTCTCTCCTAGGACCAAGACGACACAAGCCTTTTTTTTTTTTGGTGCGATGCGTAGATTTCGCAATCTGGAATTTGTTTACCTTTCGTGAAACACCGTGTATATATATAAAGAGAGAGTGAGAGAACAACCTTAAAGGCTGAACCGCATGGAAGCGATTTAGCGAGCGACGAAACGAGCGACGGCGACAAGCGAAGAAAGTCAGTGACGAGCGACGGAGATTTCTTATTGTCGCTCGTCGCGTCGCTCGGTTTGTGGATTTCTAGAAAACGTCACTCATTACCTTGGTCGCTTGGTCCCGTCGCTGTTGTGCTGTTCGCCTCGGTCGCGTGACTGACCGAGAGATAGCGGGTCCTCGTCACCGTCGATTGCCTCGTCGTTCGCCCAATCGCTTACATGCGGTTTATACTTTATATATTTTGCTAGCTTCGCCGGTCTGTCAGTCTGAAATACTTACAGCTTTCTCTAGAATGTTCTTGTCACTCGCGGCACTTCGGAGCCTTAGGCCATCCTAATGAGTTGTAAACCACGGTGCGAAGATAACGACTCGTCACCTTTGCGTGAGCTGTCGTCATATCAGTGTAGCAGGATATCTTGTGACGCCACAACGTTACGCACTAAAATGGGGTTCTAAAATATGAATATGGCGTGTGACGACAAGTGTGCATAAATAGTCAGTCACGTGATAAACGGCAATGATGCCGCGATAATAACATGTACCTAAAATTTTTCATTTCAGATGAAAAGGACGCTGCAGGCAGAAGGCAGTGGGAGGTGTCGCCCGACAGAGTACTTCAAATCACCAGGTCCTATCGAAGCAACGAACGTCAAGATGACGCCAGCGAAACGACAACCGTCTCAGGACGGAGAGTACATTCCAGGCAAGGCCACGGGGCTTCCCAAGCCTTCCTCAACGAAGCAGCTACTGATGCAGCAGCCCTGGATGAAAAGTCCAGGAGCAAAGTGCTCAGCGACAACGACGTGGCCTCTCATCTTAGGGCAGGCCACCAAGCTCTGTCCGCTCGTGGACTCGATAGAGGGCACCAGGAGAGGTCATCAGAAGCTGCGGATCAAGACAGACGTGGTCAAACGGCTGGGGATGTGCAAGATTCGAAGGATACTAAGAAGGAAGAATACGGTGCACAAATTTTCCCCGGGAGGTACCCGCCATCACGGTACCGCCCGAAGACCTCGCTGAGGCTAGAGGGTGCCCAAGAATACGTTACGACTAGTTCCGACTACTTTTCTGCCAAGCACGTCGACCAGGCAGCAGCTGGGGCATTTAAAGACGCTCGTTTGAAGAAGGCATCGAGTTCCCGAGGTCAGGCGCACCGGCCCAAAACAAGTCTGTGGTTTGAAGGCAAGTCACACTTCTCGACTACGGCCTCGGATGACTTCAAGGCCTGGGAGCAGACAGAGGCGGTGACCCGGCATCTTCGGCCCCGAAGGTTCGACGATCCAATTTACGATGTGGAAGTTGCCGAAACTGAGGGTGACTCCAAGAAAAGACGGACAGAAGCTGACGTTACTGAAGCCGCAGAATCACTTGTAACCAGCCAGGAACCACACATTGAAACAAGAGAACAGCAAGAGCAGGACCTGTCACACCTGAGTACTCAGAAGATTGGAATCGAAGATGCAGCCAGACTGGAGATGCAGGAATATGGTGTGGCGCCCGAGGACCCTACAAGCCGGAAGAAATCAACAAGAACAAAAAAGAAAACAGCCGGTTCTAGACCGACTAAAGAAAAAAGGAAATCAACGCACGGGACATCAATGGCAAATATGGAAGCATATTTTCATCCGGATGTACCGATACCATTCTACCCCAAGGACAACCTTCGAATGGCTTCCGGAGAAATGGATCTGCATACCACCAACGAAATGGAGTACTGCAAGAAGAAAATGGAGCGCGTGAGGCCCGTAAAGCCTAAATCATTGTCCAAATTGTTCGGAAACAGCAGCGGCTGCAGTTCGGCCGACAGTGACCCATGCGCTGCTGCCTTGCGGAAAGGAAGGCGGCACTTGCGAGAGAAGGACTCTCACTTCATCGAAGACGCAGACGACCATTGGCAAGCAGCTGGGCTGGTTGCGGGTCACAGAGAAACTAGAACTCAGCCAGACATTGACCAAGTCATGCAGAAGCGGAGGTTCAAAGGCCGCAGAAAGCCCTACTTCCCAGAAGAGAACTTGAGGTTAGAGGGACCCACCAGCTACAAGACGACCAACAGCGAGGCCTACAAGAACCATGACACCCGGGGAACGGCAGCGGCGCCACGACGACCGCAGAGCCACGAGGTTTTCCAAAAGTACACGGCGACAGAGGACGAGTTAAGGAGGATTAAGAATGGCGACAAGAGCAAGACACATATCTCACTTTTTGGCAGGAAAGATTCCACAGAACTGATAGCGGAAATCCAGGGTCTCCTTAGTCCCCAGGGCAAGCGTAAGAATGAAAAGAAAAGCAAGCCCGGTTCTGAGGTTCATGAGGATGCCAGAGCTTCAAAGGCATCATTAAAAACGATTCAAGGACGTGGCAGAGAAAACGCTGCAACAACTGCCACGCAAACGATTGCTGAAGAGGGTGAATCTCAGAGAGGCCATCCACATTACGAAGCAGGCGATTCACATAAGCGTTCAGTTAACATCGAGAATTTCAGAAAGCAAAAGAGCAGTTTTGAAAAACGAATCGAGCAGACGAAAGACTTTACAGCTGATCTCTCAAAAGTGCTTGAAGAAGGAGCTGAAGAAGGCTTCTTAAAACTGGGCGATACCCGATATGTAAGAGCCACTAATAAAAACGATGTCCCACAGCAGGCAGAAATCACAGAGAGAAGCCAGGCGCAGGTTGAGGAAACTACAGCAGTTAAAGAATCAGTAAAACAAGTTTTACAGGGGAGGGAAACACTTGGACCGGAAGCTGAGGCTGAAACTCATGGGCAGGTATTCGAAAGGCCTGCACCAGTACGACCGGAGACGTCACTTCGAGTTGTGGATGGTGAGAATGGCCGGGACTTCACAACGACCACTGCCGATGCTTTCAAAGACAGTCTTGGAGACTCCTTTCAACCCCGAAAGCCATACTACCCAAAGCCGAATATCACCTCCGAGGGACACATGACGTTCGATACCAGCAATCAGAACGAATACGCTCCCAAGACAGTGATTGAAGTACCTGTCCCGGTTCGTCCAGTGTCGACGTTGAAACTGAGCGGAGACAGTTCTTCTTATGTGGTTAGAAACGAAGACAAAATTGGCTACTCTAAAGAAGTCCCATCATCCGTAGAAGCTCGCTACCCTATCAGAAAACCAGAATCGAGCATAGTTCTCGGTGAAGACACCATAGACTACCACACCACTTCGCAAGCGGAGTACAAGAAATGGGAACACGAGCAAAGACGCTACGCAGAGCGAGTAGAAGAAAATTACAGGAAAACAAAGCGGGACAGGTTCAAAACTTACACACGACCAAAAGGTGCTGACCCTAAATCGGACAAACAACATCGGCCGTTCGGTGACGTCTTAACCACAACGCAAGCTGCCTTCAAACCAGTGACGGTCGAACGTCCTCAGCCATTCAGACCCACGTCTAACCTCAAGATTCGCAACGAACAGTGTTCCACAGAGATGTCAACCACGACCAGAGAAACCTTCAAGAAGGTCACTCCGACGGCCAGAGTCAAGCCTATCAAGAGAGAACCATGTCTGCGCAAACTTGGCGAGGATGATGACCCGATGCCCAAGACGACCACGTCGGGCGAAGCCTACTGCGAGGTCAAGATTCCTCCGAAACCCGAGCCCTATCGGCCTTCGGACAACCTGAAGGTGACCGGAGAAATGACCTTCTCGACCACCACCCAGGACTCCTTCACCTCACGGAGCCACAGAAAGAACGTCGAAGTCGTCGAGCGGACGAAGCCAGTCAAGAGGGAAGCGGTCGTCAAGGACATCATCTTTCCGGCGCCTGAGGCAGTGTCCTCTCCGGGTAGTCGGGGCTCCGGACGTAAGGATGACTCAGCACAAGTTTTAAGATCAGTGGAAAACGTAAGAGAACGCGACTCGTTCACGCGGTTGCGGAAGCCATCCCGCGACAGACCGCAGACCAGCCAGAAGGTGGGGGAGGGTGAGTTCCATCACGTGACCTCTTCGATGGCGGAGCATCAGGACCGGGCTGCCAAGCACTGGAAGTATTCAAGAGTAGCAGAACTGTCCGGGGCGTCTACGGACGAGTGTCCTGCCGCTTTTCTCAACACGGACAAATCGGAGTACGTTTTTAAGGAAGTGATTGGCGAACATAGGTTTTATCTGCCTGCAGTGCAGTGAGAGATAGGCTACCATATCTCAAGTATCCAATTTTCACCTGACAAATTAGGAGCAGATCAGTTTTTCAATGAACCAACGGATGAGTGTAATGGGTATACCAGCCGAATTTCATGGTCTACAAGAAGCGGTGCACATTTTACAGATGGAGCAACGTATCTGTAGATTACAAGCAGCTGCTTCTTGCTACCGGTTTAACCACCAGGGTCCTTACTATAGCGGCTACGGTTTCCTTGAAATAGTTTTAAGTAACCGCTTGGTAGAAGAATAAAAACACGCAGAAGACTTAAAGGGACCCCAAACGGCCATAAAAAACGAAGCCTCTTCGCCTTTAAGTTTTTGTGACGTATTATAATGCATTCATAACTAATGCCAGGCACGGAGTTTCTAACTCCAGCGGCATTCTTTTTGGGCTTGGTCTTTGCATTTTCACAGATGCCTGCCACTGTAAAGCGCATTCGCTCATTGCACCTGACTCACGTTGGGGGTCATGGTCCCTTTAGTCTGCTCAGGTTCGGGGAAGGTATGACTCGCAAGAATGTTTATTCAAAGCGTACACTTATCGCGCCTTTGCTCGCTTATGCCCGCTAAGTTACTCGGACGAGTGCTATATTCCTAGCAGCATCGCGAAATTCATATTTAGTTTTTATTTTGCCATTCATTTTAATCTATTAACTGCTAACATAAAGGCACAAACGTGCTTATTTTCTGACACGCCACAGATCGTTTTTAAGAATGAACTAAGCTAAAAAAGGGAACTTTTATACGTCGATTTATTATCCCTAATGCTTCACCTTTCATTGCAAGTATAGTTGGTCATATTACGAGCCTCCTCTGATTTCTGGAGCATAGAAATCACGATGGAGCGCTAATATCTTATAACGTTAAACGTGTTGGTAAAACTTGGGAGACAGATTCATTTCTGTCAGCCATAAGTTATATGCCGCCAATTAATATTTGTTTTTCTAGTTCGCTCGTTTCCAAGAAGGGGAAAAGATGAAATCGTCGTCAATCGTCAGACGAAAATGGCGGACCACCTGCAGGTGCAATTTTCTTGGTTTACCATGTTTCGAGTTTTGTTTGAGAGTGTCTGTCGCATTTTCGTTTCCTTTTTCTCGCTTCCGCCTTAGTTTAGAGTTTCGGGATTTTAGCTAGAATAGATTGTCTTTATTCCAAAGCCCCTCCGTGGCTTTCCGCGGAAAAAGATGTTTAGAAATAAAGTAAAACTTGAAATTCCGTGCGTTTGTCGGGTTCACTTCTTATGTTGACACGAACAATCACAGACATAGCACTAAGACGACTACTGTCAACGACAACACTTCGTTTTTTTTTTTTGGAATCACAATCTTTTTTGTGAGTTTATTTCGCAGGTAATGTCCCTTGGCAAGAGGAAACCCTCGTAGTTCCAACAAAATTTTTGTGTTAAGTGCCTCCCCCCTCCTTCTTCTCACCCCCTCCCCCCCCCCCCCCCCTCAAAAAAAAAAAAAAAAAAAAAAACGGCGACGAGAAGGAAACAGTTGCAATCATCTGAATGTATATTCATCGCAAGAGACTTTTTAAAACTGCGCGCCATCTAGTCGCACCTGCGTCAATGATCCTCGTCTGCCATTTTGTTTGGGCACGCACTCGGAGCGTGGATTGGACGCGAGCGCTGACGTCAGCGTCCGGCGAGGACTCGGAACCAACCACGCGCCTCGTGCTCCGAAAAATGGCGAGCGCCAATGTTGCCCGACGGGGTTTCGAAAAGGGTCTATTAACTTGAATTCTGCCAATCGCTGGACAGTCGTTATCTTGTAGCGAACTAACGGTAACCAAAGTAAGGTATGCTTTACTGCTTTCTCGAAAATACGACAAAAAACCCTCTAACTCCATGTCTTTTTTTTTTAAAGCTTGTACTTTATTACATGATTTGCTTTTTAACGCGAAACGTTCTTTGGCTAGTTGCACCGGATTTCATGAATCCGTGGCCTTTTACGTCCCATAATGCAACGCGCGCAGTGTTGCATTATGGGACAGTACAGGCCTTAGGCCTACAGACCAATTCAGTTTTCTCCGCTAAATTTATTTGGGGAAGCAAATTGGTCTATAGGTCACGTGACGTCAATTTCCCGCTAAATTTAGGGGAAAAATTAACTTCCCGCTGACATACACACCAATTCAGTTTCCCCGCTAAATTTAGCGGGGAAATTGACGTCACGTGACCTACACGCCAAATCAACTTCCCCGCTAAATTTAGAGGGGAAACTGAATTAGTGTGTAGGCCTGCAATGTCCCATAATGCTAGAACGTTTCACGTGAGCAACTCAATTGCTGAGCAATTTGCCATACAATTGTTTTTTTAAAAATATATTTTGCTTCCTAGGGAGTCGCGATATACCCGAAATAACTCTCAAAGGCCCTACACCCCCCTAGAGTCGCTGACAGCTTAAAGAAACGTAGGGCGTGGCGAGCCCCACGAATCTCATTACCGCTCCGCAGCCAATGATATTGCAGCATTAGCCGGCTAGACCGCCGAAGGACCAATCACGAAGCAAGAAGCGTGAACACAATGTGCCAGACCCTCTTTAACGACGGGCTCCCCAAATGAGCTCCTGGGGTGTCCACCCAGATAATATAACACGAAAATAACTTGACATCGGAGTAGAAAACAAGAAAAAAAGAGAGAAAAGATAAAAGTAAAAACAACGCCTATCTTTTTTTTTTTTTTTTTTTTTTTTTTGGGGGGGGGGGGGGGGGGGGAACTCTTTGTAATATACCGTTTTTTTTTTTTTGTATAACTCGCGTTTTCATTTTTTTTGTTCTTCACAATTTTTATATTATGTCCACTCTGTCTTTGTAAGTATGAACCGTAACTGCGGAACTTTGCCACGGGATTAATATAGTTCTCGATGGAAATAATAACGGAGAACATGCGGACGAGCTGCAGGTGAACTTTCGACATCTTGAACACCCGTGACTGGGAACATAAAGTGGACAACACATTGAGACCCGCGTGTTTGTTGTCCACGTTTTTTTGTTCCTGTAGTCTCGGGTATTCGAGGCGTTTATGTGTCTCGTTCCATTCGTTGTCAAGAATATTGAGACTCGCTCTCGCTGGCGCGTATATTGCGACCACAACACACAAATGCGGGCTTTTCAATGCAGTTTCGCCGCGCCGACCGTGCGTTCATGTGCCACTTTTATGTCAACTTTATATTTTCCCGAAAACAGTCATTTACAGGGGCGGGGGAGTGCGACTCATAGACGGTAAAGTACCGTATATAATACACCATTATAGCCGTTTTTAAGGAGATATGCTTCTGTTTTGTTTTATTTAACTCTACCTAGGCGCAGATTCAAGGGAAAACAAAACAGGTTTTCTGGCACGTCACAAAGTGTCCTTATACTCCGCCCTACGATCCAATGCGCTGCGCAAGTATCGTCTGCTACTTTTGCTGGGGTTGTGGTGACGTCAGAACGCCGACCTCTGATTGGTTCTGAATGAAGAATAGAGGGTAGACCTCATGGAAGCTCGCTTTGAGGTCTTCCCACTATCCTTCAGTCAGAACCAATCAGGCCTCGGCGTTCTGACGTCATCACAACCACTGCAAAATAGCAGACGATACTTGCGATCCGCATTGAGTCGATAGGGAGTTTTCGTAGACCGCGTTTCCCTCTCCGCTAAGCCCACCGCAACGAAGGAGCCGCTACTGCGCCTGCGCGCCGATAGCCTTGACTGTAGGGTTCCGGCTATCGTAGCGGGTTGCGGACAGCGTTGCAGAACGGCGAAAACCATCTACGAAAACTCCCTAATCGGGCAGCCCCAAAAATGTACCGTAAAGGCGCTCGTTATATTTGTGTAGTATGATATCACCGGCCGACTCTATTAGCGACGAGATGTTTTGGTGGCGCCTCCTATGGTTTCCTCTCGTGACGTCATTACCTTGCAAAAATCAAGTTGGATGGTGTTTGTAATGAACATGGTGGAAGTTTGAAATTATTGTACTCTGAAAGCAACACTACCAAAACCGTCAAAATTGAAGTTCTTACATTACTCTTATTTCTGTCGCTGAGAAAACCTTTGCTGACGTCATTATCAGTTATCGGCCAATCGTGGAAGGCCGACCACAGCGACGCTTTCGATCGCGCACGTTGCCAATAGGCATGTATCTCGCTTCTATTGCGGGAGGTCCCGGGTTCGAATCCCGGACGAGCCCTATTTTCGATTCGCAGTAATTCGTTTGTTGGTATGTTTCTGCATAGTTTAAATGGGTGTCGGCGCTAACGCATTTTTTGTTTTGTTTTGCCGATAACGCAGTAATATATACTCGTTACATTTTCAAAACAGTAACACGAAACGTACTTACTTTACTTATTTCGAGTAACGGGTAGCATCACTCGTTACATGTTCCCGAGACATTAAAGAAAAAAATGGCACTTCTAATTTTTGTTTTGTGTATTTAGGAGCTACGTTATATGAATTCTTGCGCTCATTCAATGCACATACTTTAAAAAGTTTGCGTCTTTTTTCTCACGCAAACTCTCTCACTTTAGAGAACCCCAACGCTCATGCTTTTTGTCCCAGTCTAAACAGTAAAATGCATTAATTTAGAAATTAAAGAAAAAAAAAAAGACATCGAAATAGTGACGTGCGGTACATTTGATCGGTACCGGTAATGCGTTATCTTTGTTTTGAGGTAACTTAGGACGGTAACGCGTTCCTTTTATACATGCAAGAAGCGAGTAACGTATCTCGTTACTTCTTTTCCCCGGTAACGCGTACACAGCGCTGGTTAAAATTTGGTAGCTAACCTAGGTACCAACATGTCGCGAACCCGCCAAGGTTTGAGCTCGAACAGGTTCGACTTTGGCGAACGTTTAACACGAGGTCTGCCGTGAGTTGGCCACGAGGGTCCAGTACTGTGCGCAAACACGAAATCCCGCGGCATGGAATACGAACTGAATTCGACCGAATTGTGATGGCTAAACCTGTTCAATCGGGCGATCACAGAATCAACAAATGAATCCAGCTGAAACAAAAAAAAAAAAGAAAGAAGACGGGAAAAAAAGAGAAAAAGTACACATGACCCCGGTGGCACGATGCATCGTGCTCGGGGATTTTGAACGCCAAGTGGGAAAGCACGAAACAGGCATAAACGCTTACTTAAAAAAAAAAAAAAAAAGTTTTATAAAGTAAGAATTGTTTTTTTTATTTTTTATTCAACGACGCATTGACGCTGACCAAACCTTGCACGTGTCCGCGTTCACCGATAAATACATTCAATTTTTCGCTT